CAAAATATAATTTCTTAATTAAAAAGTGTCCTAACGTGTTAGGCCTACTGTGGTGTATGTAACCATGGTAATATATATTCTGGTGTTATTTTTTATTGCACTGTTATCTTTAAAATGTTCCTTTACACCTTTACTTCAATTTTCCACATCTTTCATGGCAGTATAACTCAATTTCTTTCTTTATATTTATTCGTTCAACTTTGTTCAGTGCTTCACTAATTGATTTGAGATGATTTACTTCAGCTTCCTGTCTACTTCGCCACTGTACCAACATTTCAATATAGGCGTCTACAATTGGTGGTGAAAAGTCTGACTCAATTCGATTTATTTCATGTTTCTCCATAGCAAGGTAGATGCCGAAAATTGTCAAATCTTTGCCATCAAGTTTATTAGCGATAAATACTATGTCAATATCAACTAAGCAACCTGTGATAGAACACATAAATTTCCAATAACAATACTGTATAGACAAATCCTTTTAGAAAATGTGTGCTGTATTATTTAAACAGATATTCATAAAATGAACAGCAAATCTTAATCATCAAAATATTTTCCGAATTAAAAATCGTAAAGATACTAAGTGAAAAATAGTGGTCTAATGGTTATGATACCAGGAGGTCTTGGATTCGATTCCCACCCAAATTACTTGCAAAAATTTTCCTCACAAGTATTTCGGCACGCACAAAGTGAACAATGAGTTCTCACCTATATAACAGGGGTCACGTTTGTAGATCAGATCAGTTCGAAGGGTCAAGTGATTATGCAAAGTGACTAAAGGCCGACCCGATTTAACGTCGGGGACAGTCTACAGCTGTCGTGAGAAACATTAAACATGTTTAATATTCTACGACAGGACTGCACCCGACGCACACCGTCGGGTCTGCGTTTAACTCACACAGACCCTGAGTCTGAGTTGTCCTTTAGAGGTCTAGGAGAATAGTCTAAAATATATTTATTTGTATAAAAGGGCATACACCAAGCAATGTTTCTCAGGATGTGCGAAAATGTAATAAATTGTAGAATAGCAGTAGTTTTTTTAAATAGATTTTTACTACTGTACCTTGCATTGGTGTTGGAATTTCAGGCAGATTTATATGAATTGGTGCAACTTCTGACTCGTCACTATAGCCATGCCTTTCACGTACACTTTGTGCAAGTCCAACAAGCTTCTGTTGCCTCAAAGTGTTCACCATGATTGGTATTTGTTGGCTCTTTGATTGGTCATTCCTCCAAGTAACCAACAATTCCATGATGCAGTCTTCGACCATTCTGTAGTTTTTTGTTATCTTTTTTATATCGGTCCACTTGAGTCCAAGACACACTCCCAGTCTCCTCCATGATTCGGGATCCAAATTGTCACAGATAAACAGCAAATCTTGATCATTAAACCATTTTTCTACATAAAAATTATACAGATTATACAGTGAGTAAAAAAACACTTAGTTAATGATGTCATTGACACTACTGTGTACTATTGTTTACTTTGGTATCAAAAAAGAAACAAGCTACAGAACAAAATGTGAGGTTAATTTGCGATGTATTTCTGAAATCTTGAGATACTTACCTGCTTCTCGCGTAACAAGATTTTCATCGCTAATTTTACCCTCAAACAATTCTTCAGCTAGTTTCCCGAGCTTATGTTGTTTCAGAGCAGTGCACAACACTTTACGTTGATGAATATCGTTACTGAGGCTGCTCCTCCAGTCATTCATCATATTTTTGGCAGCCTTATAAGTCTGCGTATCATCAGCAATGAACTTGTTTACTTTTGACCACTTAAGTCCCAAACGGACACCAAACCTTCTCCAGCTGATATTTAAATCGTCAGAAACTGTCACAATGGTGATGTCATCCACAAAGCCTAACAAACAAGATAATTATTACTTGAAAACGTAATTATCCCAACTGTATCTGACATGAGTTTTAGACACTCCATTTAAAAGAAAATTAAAACTTTCACTAAAAAAAAAATTAAAAAATTATACCAACGCAATTGACCCCTGGTCTCCCAAAATTTCAGTACTATTTTTTTAACTTTCTGTTTATGCATAATGTTGTCGGTTTAAAAAACCGAATATACGAAATAAGTGACTGGAGATTCGGGAAAAAAAATAGCATTATTTTTAAACCATTATCCAGCAGAGTACAGATGACTTTTAAAACCGGTTACTTGCAACAAAACATTTGTTTTCAATAAAACCAGCACCATCTTCATCAGATATAAATTAAGTGATTCGTTATTGAAAAAAAACCATAAACATACCTGTTGTAAATTGTGTTTATAAAATGTAAAACTTATACAAAATTTGTTTAATTTGTGTAACTTATCGATGGACACATTGCAATCATGGTCAAAATTATTCAATGTATTGATTAATCAACCTACACATCTAAACCGCATTTTAACCTCATACCCATGATGAATGCACACTTTCAAGCAAAACAAAGTATAAAATTATTTTATCATGAAATAAGTTCAATGTAAACACCGTTTGTAGCTGGCTGTCGTGTTGCCGCTGTGCCAAATTTCACCCACTTTAAATTTCTGACCACTATGCACAATTCTTGCAAGTATCTTATTGAGAATGTGTTATTATTTTATGTATAGAGTTCTATTTTTCAAATTTTAGTTTACATTTTAAAATTTGTCATATTTTTATTTATTTTTTTTCTCGTGTTACCTGTGCAATTCGGAATTGGTAGGTATCAGTGGTGCCTTGATTATTCACCTGTTGGCCTTTTTTCGGAACCGGCATTATCTCAATGTAATTGTATTGTATATTTGCCAGTGTGGGGTAGTAGGCCTATATAAATACATTATTAAAATAAATAAACAGTATTTACCTTGTTTTAACATGTTATCTTTGTCTGTGTGCTGCCGGTCATGGGAAAAAAAGTCTGTGAAACCTCTCCGACAGTGCTGGACTGGAAAAATAATTGTATTCAAATATTATTAATGTTATTATTATTACACTGCTCATGAAGGGAATGGTGAAATCTATGGCCCCAAGGTGATGTGGATACCTATCTTACGGTCTCCACACATCACAGAGGGGCTGGATGTCACCGTTCCAGGAATCTAGAGTAGTCAATATTTGTTTATATACCTCAAACATAGATTCTACGAGACCTAAAAAAGTAAGGAAAATACTACACACAAAGCAGGCCATCTAATATAATAATTATACATTATATTATCTATTATAATAATATATTAAGTGTATCAAGACAATCCAATACTACTTCTGATTTTTTTTTTTTTTTAATTATTATTATTATTAACATTGTTTTACAGGGATAATTGAAGGGCTATTTTTTTGTGTTTTTGAAAACAAATCGGTCAAAATCTGTTTAAAAAAAAACAAACTGATATATAGACTTATTTGTTTTGTTAGTAAACCGTAACACGAAGTGTTGATTACAATTTATTGATTAGTACATAAATACTAAGTTAAAATTATTTTAGTATAATCTATCACCTTAATTTACTAGAAAGCCAAAAATATTACTCTAAATATGATATTTATTTTTTTAAAATGAGCATTATCTACACACACCACTACAAATAATTTGGAATAAGGCATTAACTACACTAACTGTCTCTTATACACATCTAGATGTGTATAAGAGACAGGTATTATTTAAACAGATATTCATAAAATTTGACACAATGACCTTTCAGAGGTCAAATTGCTGTCAAGAATATGAATTGGCTGCTTCGCAGCAATTATCAGACTGAAATAGAAACTCCAGTTCGATTTCATTATCTAGCATCAAAGGCATTTTGATTTCATGGCCTGAGTCAAAGGATATAGTCCTAGGCCTAAGTTTTTTTTAAAGTTCAGTATCTGTCTCCCCACCCCACGAAGTGTCAATGAGAGGTATTATAACTGTCTCTTATACACATCTAGATGTGTATAAGAGACAGGTCGTATACAGTATGCTAACTAATAGATTGTTGAGTATGGTTTTTGATTGATTGCAAGCATTCAAGCAAACGTTATGATTGGCTAACTTATCCACGTGATGACATACGCTGCAAGATTCTCCTTTGGCCGTTCTGATTTGATCCTGCTTTAATAAGATTACCGTATTATGTTCGTTCCTGTTTAGATACTGATATCATAGGTGCCGACTGAAACCGTATTCAGTCTATTTAAAGAGAATTTTAATGTAAACATAAATGAACGTTTATAAAGAAATGCTTGTGTCTTCATTGTGTTATTTATTCTGCCCTGATTCGGAAAAAGGCATTAACCATTTTTTTCAAAATTGAGTTTTTTGTCTTACATGACTCCTGATGGTATAATCTATCACCTTAATTTACTAGAAAGCCAAAAATATTACTCTAAATATGATATTATTTTTTTTAAATGAGCATTATCTACACACACCACTACAAATAATTTGGAATAAGGCATTAACTACACTAAAGACTACAATACAGCATTGAATGGTTGAATTCACACACAAGTGGGAAGCAGTTATCCAATCAGGTGCCAGTGTGATGAATATTAATTAGATCTCCTCTAAGATAATGCCTAGTTTATTCCAGCTTTAATCTGAGGATTAATTCGAAAGAAGGCATTATCTACATTGTTTTTTCTTATAACCTTTACTAAACTTCATATCATTCTGATTATTTCTTTTACTTCGACACAAGTTACAGCCTATTTAGGAGCTTTTTGACGTGTAATTATTATAAATTTTAATTTTAATGCGAAATTCTGTGCATCTTTTTTACATGTAATATTTTTAATTGCTTTATTCAATGTGTATTACTAAATATGTTTTTCGCTAAATTAATAAAAACTTAATATTAACAATCCATAAACAATATAAATATTACTTTGTAAGTTTAAGTAAATTTTATATTGTCATCTTGATTATTGATCGAGTTTCTAGTCCACATCGGCCGTCGTGAAGTAGAACAACGTAACTGACATTTTTGTCGATTTTGAGATAATTTAATTTGGGAGCATATATAACCACTTCTGATTTACCTGTGAAAATTTCAGATCTCATTAATGAGACATACGGGATTAGCACAACCTATTTTAAGCACAAACCTCAAAATCCAGTGAACTTCCGTGGTTAAACAACGTAACTGCAAGATACGGGGAAAACAACGTATCTACGATGTAGATACATTGTTTTGCATCGGAATGGGATTTAAAAATAAGCTGACGAAGTTTTGCAAGGCAAAATCAATTGGTAATTGTGATTTCATATGAGTAATCAATAACAGCGACGTATCAAAGAGCTAGATAATAAATGATATTTAAAAATTGTTTTAAGCTGATAGAGTTTTATAAGGCAAATTCAATCGGTTAATTGTGTTTTCATACGAATAATCAATAACAGCGATCGACGTATGAACAAGCTAGATAATATATGGGATTTAAACATTGTTTTAAGCTTGGTTATCCATGGTATTTTGATGAATAATCCAATACTACTTCTTATTTTTTTTTAAATTATTATTATTAACATTGTTTTACAGGGATAATTGAAGGGCTATTTTTTTGTATTTTTGAAAACAAATTGGTCAAAATCTGTTTTTTTTTTTACTGATATAGGCTTATTTGTTTTGTTAGTAAGCCGTAACACAAAGTGTTGATTACAATTTATTGATTAGTACATAAATACTAAGTTAAAATTATTTTAGCCTCATTCAATGGTATACAAAATAAATGTTATCAATCCATACCTGAATGGTACTGAATGGTGTGAATAAAATAATTAAGAAAGTCAACTCAAATACATGCTGAGATTGACAGAAGTGGGAAAGAACAAACGCTAATTTTCAGGTGGCTCAAAAGCTGTTAGGTAATAAGCCCTCACACCAAGCTATACCCCCTTCCACATAGGGGCGAATCCAGCGGGGGAGCCATGGGGCCCCATCCCCATCACTGTCAGTTCCGCCGAAAAATTAAAAAGAGAAAAAATTGAGAAGACTTAAAGGAAGAAAGAGGGGGAAAAGGATGTGTACCCATGAGTTCAGTGGCGAATCCAGCAGTGGGCGAAATGAGAGCTCAATTATTTTACCACTCACTAATTTTGAATTTTCTATTGATTGACGAAGAATACAACGCTATATTCCCAATGTCAAATTTTTCAACGATTTCATAAATCAGTATGGAAAAAAGGCCAGAAGACAGAAACCTAAGACAGAGTTTTCAACCATTATCCATGATCTGTGGTGTAACGCCTATGCGCTCTCGTGCGGCGGTCTGCAGGGCCACGGATCCCTAGGGGCACCTTTGGTATCCCTACCCATGGTCCAGTAGTGCCCTCGCTGTATTGTACCCAGGGCCAAAAAGGGTTTGTTGATACATAACAGCACAATATGTCTCCAACATCGACTGTAGGACATATACCATTTGGAGTGTGGTGCCCAGCCGGCAGGACCCCCTACATTTGTCAAACTTTTAAAAAAGATAAAATATTAGACTATTAAAATAGTCTGAATGAGTGCAATTTCCAGGCATCTAGATGTACCATAATCACAACTCTCAGTCTCCCAGTTGCAAGGATAGGGGGTGTCTAAGGG